ATCTGAGACTAAAGTATATAGTTCTCACCTCCAGGTGGTGAAGAGGTCCTCCCTCTTATGTATGGGTCTGGTTCACGAGTGAGAGAAGGATGCAGCGTGATAATGAAATATGGATCAGTGTAGTGTCTGCATTGATTTGATCACTGTATCGGAGCTGAAAAGACACACAATCGCATAAAGTCATGAGCTTTGGGTAATGGCCCAAAGAAAGGACAAGATTGCAGGTACAAGTGGTTGAAATAACCCAAAGAGACTGGATTAGAGACAAGAGGAGAGGCTTTGTCACTAGAGGAGCTTGGAGTACAGCCACCTCCGCATCAAACCATCCCAAAGCATCAAACATGGAAAAAATGAGTCGACCCAATGAAATGATTCAGGTTTTTAAGGAGTAAAAACGTTGGTAATAGACATTATTATATCATACCAAGGTATACAAAATGACAACCATTGGAGAGTGGTGTCCAAAATCAAGCCAGCTTTTTTTTGCTAGGAGACAAACATGAACAGAGGTTTTGTGAGTGAGATCTCACTGCACCACAGCAGGATGTGATGCATGCATGAGCAGCTCCACCGTCAGGGGGCGTGTTTACAAGGCTTTCTGCACATTTCTTATATAATACTGTGAATGCCTCACTAGGGTCTTCCCATTTTATCTTTGGCCACTTCAGCATTCATGCGCTTCTCTGCAGACATGTTTTCTGTTCCGTCGCCAGCATCAGGAAATTAGTTTGAGCTGCATTTATGTTCATAGTGTTTTTTACGTAAATCAAAATGAACATAACATAATATGTGCATCTTACAGCAGATGCACATATTAGTGCTCAGTCAGTCATTTCAAATGCAGGAAATCCATTCCACACATCACTGATTTTGAAGCTCCACATGCATTGTGTGAGCTACCGTATATTGTATAAATGAAATAACAGCTCTTTGGCTTCTTTTTCGTTTGTTAATGCACAACAATTGGGGTTTGATATATTCAGATAAATGCTATTCAGAGAAATTAGCTATACATACTGTATGTATGTATGTATATAATATTATATTATATTATATTATATATATATATATATCCATCCATTTTCTTCCGCTTTATCCGTTGCCGGGTCGCGGGGGCAGCAGTCTAAGCAGAGACGCCCAGACTTCCCTATCCACACACACTTCCTCCAGCTCGTCCGGGGGGACCCCAAGGCGTTCCCAGGCCAGCTGGGAGACATAGTCCCTCCAGTGTGTCCTAGGTCTTCCCCGGGGCCTCCTCCCGGTGGGACGTGCCCGGAACACCTCCCCAGGGAGGCGTCCAGGAGGCATCCGGAAAAGAGGCCCGAGCCACCTCAACTGGTTCCTCTCGACGTGGAGAAGCGGCGGCTCTACTCCGAGCTCCTCAAGTGTGATTGAGCTCCTCACCCTATCTCTAAGGGAGCGCCCAGCCACTCTGCGGAGGAAGCTCATTTCGACCGCTTGTATCCGCGATCTCGTTCTTTCGGTCATTACCCAAAGCTCATAACCATAGGTGAGGGAGGGAACGAAGATTGACCGGTAAATCGAAAAGCTTAGCCTTTCGGCTCAGCTCCCTCTTTACCACAACGGTCCGATACAGCGACCGCATCACTGCGCACGCTGCATCGATCCACCTGTCAATCTCACGCTCCATTCTTCCCTCACTCGTGAACAAGACCCTGAGATACTTGAACTCCTCCACTTGAGGAAGGACCTCTCCACCCACCTGTAGAGGGCAAGGCACCTTTTTCCGGTCGAGCACCATGGCCTCGGATTTGGAGGTGCTGATTCTCATCCCAGCCGCTTCACACTCGGCCAGAAACCACCCCAGTGGTTTCTGGCCGAGGTCCTGGTTCGTTGGAGCCAACAGGACAACATCGTCTGCAAACAGCAGAGATGAAATCCTGTGGTCTCCGAACAGGACCTCCTCTGGCCCCTGGCTGCGCCTAGAAATTCAGTCCATAAACACAGTGAACAGAACCGGTGACAAAGGGCAGCCTTGGCGGAGGCCAACATGCACCGGGAACAGGTCTGACTTACTGCCGGCAATGCGAACACAGCTCTGGCTCCGGTCATACAGGGACCGAACAGCCCTCAGCAGAGGACCCCGGACCCCGTACTCCCGGAGAACCCCCCAAAGGACACCCCCCGAGGAACACGGTCGAACGCCTTCTCCAAATCCACAAAGCACATGTGGACAGGTTGGGCAAACTCCCATTAACCCTCGAGTATCCGATGGAGAGTATAGAGCTGGTCCAGTGTTCCGCGGCCGGGACGAAAACCACACTCCTCCTCCTGAATCCGAGATTCGACCCTCGGCCGTAGCCTCCTCTCCAGTACCTTGGAGTAGACCTTACCGGGGAGGCTGAGGAGTGTGATCCCACGATAATTGGAACACACCCTCCGGTCCCCCTTCTTGTAGAGAGGGACCACCACCCCGGTCTGCCACTTCATTGGCACCGCCCCCGATCGCCACGCGATGTTGCAGAGACGTGTCAGCCAAGACAGTCCTACAACATCAAGAGACTTTAGATAATCAGGACAGATCTCATCCACACCCGGAGCCTTGCCACCATGGAGGCTGCCAACCACCTTGGTGACCTCAGCCAGGGAGATGGATGTATCCGCCCCAACATCCTCAGCCTCTGTAACGGAGGACGTGACGGGGGGATTGAGGAGAACCTCAAATTATTCCTTCCACCACCCGACAATATCCCCAGTCGAGGTCAGCAGCTCTCCACCCGCACCGTACACGGTGTTGGCAAAGAACTGCTTCCCCCTCCTGAGGCGCCGGATGGTTTACCAGAATCCCTTCGAGGCCGACCAATAGTCATGCTCCATGGACTCTCCGAGCTCCTCCCAGTCCCGGGTTTTTGCCTCTGCAACAGCCCGGGCCGCGGCACGCTTGGCCTGCCGGTACTGGACAGCTGCCTCAGGAGTCCCCCAAACTATCATGGCTCGATAGGACTCCTTCAGCCTGACGGCATCCCTTACTGCCGGTGTCCACCACCGGGTTCGGGGGTTGCCGCCGGGACCAGCACCAGAGACCTTGCGACCACAGCTACGAGCCGCCGCATCGGCGATTGAGGCAGAGAACATGGTCCACTCGGACTCCATGTCCCCCTCCTCCGCCGGGACCTGGGAAGATTATATATATAGTTGAGGTATACCACAACTATGAGTCATAGAATGAGAAAACAAATATTTTTATATAAATATATACATTTGTTTGCAAATTAAGGTGGAAAATAAATATTTGGTCCCTACAAACAAGCAAGATTTTTAGCTCTCACAGACCTGTAACTCCTTCTTTAAGAGGCTCCTCTGTCCTCCACTCTTTACCTGCAGTAAAGAGATCAGTTGTTTGAACTGATATTGAGTTCAAACAATTGTTTGAACTCAATATCAGTATCAAAGGCACCTGTCCACAACCTCAAACAGTCAAACTCCAAACTCCAATATGGCCAAGACCAAATAGCTGTCAAAAACACCAGAAACAACATTTTAGACCTGCACCAGCCTGGGAAGACTGAATTCACAATAGGTAAGCAGCTTGGTGTGAACAAATCAACTGTGGGAGCAATGATTAGAAAATGGAAGACACAAGACCACTGATATTCTCCCTCGATCTGGGGCTCCATGCAAGATCTCATCCTGTGGGGTCAAAATGATCACAAGAACATTGAGCAAAAATCCCAAAACCACATGGGGGGACTTGGTGGCGGCTGCAGAGGGCCGTTTGACGCCGCTTGCGGCTTTAATTATACTTGTTCTAGCCCAGGAAAACCTGGGAAAGAACAAGTTTGCTGTTGTTTGATGTCATATTTGACCCACTGAACATGCACAAAAACTTACAAAATTTTGCCACAAGTTCTGTTCTTGCAAACACTTTATTAATTTTGTGTTTCCTAGTATGAGACTACAAATTTGATATTGTAGGGGGGCGCAATTGTAGTCCAATAAAGCCACCGTTTGCACATACACAGTCCGATTTGCACCAAATTTGAATCGGTTGTTCAACTTTTGGGTTTGGGTAAACTGAAAGTGTAAAACATCAAATCGCAGCAGTAGCGCCCCCTACAGAATGTCATTTTCACAGATGTTGGTTGGAAAGCGACTCCTCCTTAGCCGTTTCACCGATTTGCCTTAAAATCGCTACACATGGTCTAAACACATGTACCGTCATTTTGATTTCAGCGAAATTTGATCAGTGAAACGTTGTTTGAGCAGCGAAGCGCCAAAAAGTGGCGTTTTTTTTTCAGTTTTTGACAATAGAAAAATTACTTCCGTTTACTCAAACACAGTCCGATTTGCACAAAACTTGTTTCCATGGTTAAACTCTAGGTTGTAGGTCATTTGAATGTGAAATAATTCAATTGCCAGAACAGCGCCCCCTACAACAGCCAATTATATACTCCTATGAGAGTTTTTGAGGTCAAGTTTGTTGTAGAGCCATGAAATTTGGTACACATATTCCACAAGGTAAGACATGAAATTAGTTTTATTATGGCCCCGCCCTCTGACAAACAGGGAGCCCATAAATTTCACTGCAAAATGGATAAATGAACAGCAATCATTTTCACACATGTCGTTTGGAAAGCAACTCCTCCTCGACCGTTTCACAGATTTGCCTGAAAATCGCTCCAGATCGTCTCCACACATGTACCTTCAAAATGACTTCAGGTAATTTTTATCAGTGAAACATTGTTCGAGCATCGGAGCGGCAAATAATGACCTTTTTTGGCTATGTAAAAATAGCTCTCGTTTGAACAAACAAAGTTTGATTTGTACTTAACTTGACCCGATTGTTCTACTCCTGGGCCTGGGTCACCTGAAAGTGTGTACAATATGACATTGGCTCTTTAGCGCCCCCTACATACCGAGCTAAAGCTTTACATGGGGAGCCACACCGACGGATCAATTTCACAAACATTGTTCTATGGCTACGATAGCAAATCATGGCGCGGCGGCGCCACCTGCGGAGCGGCGAGTCACGCGGGGAGTCACAGGGAGGGAAATCGCGAGTTGCGCGGTGCGGGGAGTTGTAGCTGTGCACGGAGTCGTAGTGGTGCGGGGAGTCGTAGTGGCACGCAGTGCGGGAAGTTGTAGCGGAGCGGGAAGTCGTAGCGGAGCGGGGAGTCGTAGCGGAGCGGGCAGTCGTAGCGGTGCGGGGAGTCGTAGCGGTGCGGGGAGTCGTAGCGGTGCGGGGAGTCGTAGCGGTGCGGGGAGTCGTAGCGGTGCGGGGAGTCGTAGCGGAGCGGGGAGTCGTAGCGGTGCGGGGAGTCGTAGCGGTGCGGGGAGTCGTAGCGGAGCGCGGAGTCGTAGCGGAGCGCGGAGTCGTAGCGGAGCCGTAGCGGAGCCGTAGCGGAGCCGTAGCGGAGCCGTAGCGGAGCGCGGAGCCGTAGCGGAGCGCGGAGCCGTAGCGGAGCGCGGTGCGGGGTGTCGCAGCGGAGCGGGGAGTCGTAGCGGAGCGCGGGGCGGAGCGGGTACTCGTAGCGGAGCGGGGGGTCGCGCGGTGCGGCGAGGGCCGTTCGACGCCGCTTGCGGCTTTAATTCTTTCTTCTTTTTCCCCATTGTCACTTGATCAAATAACTTGCAAACATTGTTCCACTTTGAGAGGAATGTTAAACGATTCCCCCTCTGAGTGAGCCACAGGTGAAGTGGGCCTCCATAAAATACCTTTTTTTTTTTTTGGGAACTCTAAAGACTAGCTCTGGCTGATAATTAAACCTTTTAGTTTCCATAGAGATAAGAGAGTCAGATTTGTGTTGATTATGGAACAAATGCCGTGCTTGTGGCACGGCATTTGTTGTTTAAGACCCAGGATGAATGGATATTGTGCATTAGCTTTGGACCTTCAACTTGATCCTGAGAAAGAAAACAGCGAAGTTACCCAATCAAAGTATGTTTCACTCAAAATAATAATTTGAGAATGTTTACATTGGCCTTTCAAATTTTATAATGTAAAATAGTTTGCTCAGTATACAAAATTGTGTGTGCATGTATAATGGAATAAGAGATGGTCAGAATGGGCAACACTCAGAGGTAGAAGCAAACAGGGTAGGGTTTCAGAGGCATAGATAAGACCTACAGAGAATCTAAATCATGCATTTAAATCAAATGCAAAATTGACAGGTTTGATTAGTGTTGGGCCAATGAAACCAGAGCTGTAGCTTGTGTAGCTCTTCTTGAAGCACAATGCTTTGAAGCGGTGTTCCGGAGCATGTGTATGTATTAATATAAGAAAACTTTATTGTCCACCAAGGTGGAAAATTGCCTTTGGTTATCACCTTAAAATAGATAAAAGACACACATCCAGCACAATATCATGTGGCACTACATTCACAGAACAATTGGAAGAACAAACCAACAAGGCCACCTCCGGCCTAAAGACAAGAGTCAAGCTCAGGACTGCTCAAAGCTTAAGAGTGTTTACCGCTTTCACTGCTCTGGGCACAAAGGAGTTTTTAAAAATGTTTTTCTTAGCTGATATCACTCGATATCTCCGTCCTGACGGCAGAAGTTCAAACTTTGGGTTTAGCGGATGGGAAGCATCTTTAATGATGAGCTCAGCCTTCTTTCCCAAGCGCTCCTCGAACAAACACTGGAGAGATCTTTGTGGCTGCCCAATGATCTTCGAGCTCTGGTTCACGATCCTTTGGAGTTTGTTTTGGTTCTTCATGCTGAGGTTGCCAAACCACATCAGCATGTTAAAGGTGAGGATGCTCTCCACCAGGCTCTTGTAGACCGTCTCAAGGATAGAACGACTCACACCAAAATTATTCAGTTTGCGAAGCAGATACAGTCGCTGTGAGCATTTCTTAAAAATGAAGTCTGTGTTCGTAGAAAAGGTAAGTCTCCCATCTATGTATGTGCCAAGGTATTTAAAGTCATCGACCATCTCAACATTGGCACCATGAATCTTCACTTCTATCAATGTCTCTTTATCAATGTGCACAATGAGCTCTTTTGTTTTCAAAACATTGATTTCTAAAAAGCTGTCCACACACCACTGCTGTAACATGGACAAATGATTAAAATAGAGACTCTCCAAAACAGTGTTCCCTTTCTGTAGTAAGGCAACAAGAGCCATATCATCGGCATATTTAAAAAGTTTAAAAGATTCCTCATGAACTTGAAATGCATTAGTATAAATAGAAAAAAGCAAAGGAGACAGAATTGTCCCTTGAGGCGCACCTGTATTTAAGACAGTCACTTCTGAGATATCAGAACCAAGTACTACTCTTTGAGGACGATTAGATAAAAAGTCTCTGACCCATTTGATTATACCTCCATTAACACCCAGGTCCATAAGTCGACTCAATAAAATATGTACCTGCATCGAGTTAAAAGCTGACGTGAAATCCACAAAGAGAATTCTAGCATAGTGGTCAGAGGCCTGTAGATGTTCGGCTACAGTGTTAAACAGAGTGATGGCTGCGTCCTCTGTGCTTCTCCGACTTTTGTATGCAAACTGTAAGTTGTCCAAACAGTGTGATACAGAGGACATGATGTATTTGCTTACAGTTCTCTCCATGGTTTTACACAAGATGGAGGTCAGTGCAATAGGCCGATAATCATTCAGTACAGATGCTCCAGCGTTCTTAGGGACAGGCACAATATTTGTACGCTTCCAGGACTCAGGGCAGGTGTGTGTCTGGAGAAGGACATTAAAAATCACAGTAAAAACACCTTTCAATTGATGCACACAGCTTTTCAGGAGTCTCCCTGAGAGGCCATCTGGCCCGGTGGCTTTCCTTGGTTTTATCTGGGCTAAGCTAGCAGCCACTTCTTGTTCAGTAAGAACAATATGGTCATATTCTGGGATCGAATCGCAAATAAAATCACAATCTGAGCTAAAATCAGTCTTATCAAACCTACTGTAGAATACATTCAAGTCATTAACCGTTACCGAAGAAGAAGAGAGCGCAGTGCGTTTGTTCTTTGTCTCCCTGCCCATGATTTGGTTTAAGCCCTCCCATGCAGTCCTAATGTTACCTGAGCAGAAATTCCTCTCCACTTTCTTTCTATATTCTATTTTTGCTTTGTTCATCTGACATCTTAATTCTGATCTCTTTTCTCTGACAAGGTCTGAATTACCATTAAGGAAGGCTACCTTCTTTTCATTAATGCAAACCTTCAACTCACTTGTCATCCAAGCTTTGGTGTTGGGATAAATCTTAACAGTTTTTGTGCAAATGACATTGCTTTCACAGAAGGTCAAATAAAATGTAATGGTATCTATGAGATCATTTACATTGTCACAAGAGTCAAAAAAGATCTGCCAGTCCGTTTGTTCTAAGCCATCCCTTAAAGCCTCAGCACTGTCCTCTGTCCATATGCGCACATCCTTTATTACTGCTCTTTCCTGTTTCAGTTGTGCCCTGTATTTCGGGAACAGGTGGACAACATAATGATCGGACCTCCCCAAAGCGGGCCGACAAAAGGATTTGTAAGCGTCCGGTATATTCCCATAGCACTTATCCAAGGTGCGCGTTTGGCGCGTGGGGCAGTCCACGTATTGCTGGGCTGTGGGCAGGTGACTAGCAAGATCACACGAGTTTACATACGAGTTTACGAGTTTATTTATGTAATACAGACAGTATATCAGTCTTGATACAGCTTCTTCTTAAAAAGCGTAGTTTAACTAACATTAACAAAAACAAAATATCTCAACGCAATACAGTCTAATTGTTGAGTAACTGCAATGACTTAATTTATCCACCAGATTTCAGTTTTACTGAACAGACATTGTAGTCACTTTGAAGTACTAGCAAACACACTTCACAGGGCTCCATAACCCAGCACTAGGTTTCATATAACTCAATGTGGATTGAGTTATATATAGCCTCCTCTCTCCTCTGGGTGCTACCGGGGTCTGGCTTCTGGACCTGGTGTCGTCCTCTGTGGCTGCAGGCGACTCTCTGCTCCTGGTGCAGACGGCTCCTTGGATGACGCTTCTTCAGTGATGCGATCTGGGAAAACCCGTCGGATGTCGCGCTGGCACGTTCCGAGTAAACAGGGAAAATAGACACGTGAACAGGACCATAGACACGTGAATAGGACCATACACACAAGCGGACAGAACCCATAGATGCGCGGATCCTAGACACGCGAGACACGCGGACCATAGACACTTGGACAGGACCATAGACAGAAGCAGAAACGGACAGAACCATTGACACGCGTTCAGACAATCCCCAGCTTGTTCCAAGTCTAAAGCTCACGAAATTAAAGCTCAGCTACCTAATTTTTTCCTTGCATTAAAAATGCTTGGTGTTTGTGCGTGGATAAATATACTGCGTGATTGGATAGAGTAATACTGGCATTGTCTATCACATATATGATGTTCAGTAACTTATAAAGAGAAAGACACAAAAAAAGAAGAGGAAAAGTTTCGTAAAACAAATTCAACTCATTGATTGTTGAAATCATTCTTGATTTTCATCTAATTCATGAGTGTTGTGTGTTTTAATTGGTGCCAAAGTGAAAAAAATCTTTTACAACATAGTGACTAAAATAAGTGTGTGCCAAAACAGAGTCATTCAAATGTAACATGTTATATTTGTTTGTGGTGATTCTATTTAGAATGTCTATCTTTAAACCGTTTTTTCTCAGAATTCTGTTTCATAAAACCATGTTAAAAAGCCGACTTCAGATAATGATAACTTTTGTTACAGACATGCTATTAAAAAAAGGAAAACAGATTTGAAAAGAGATTGAAACCAGCTTTAAGATGGTTTCAGAATCTTAAGTTGGTCAAATTTCACCATGTGATGGGTTTTCCCAGATGGCATCATCTTTTGTTTTTCCGACACCTAGCCTTATATTTTGTATTGGTTGCATATATTTTACTCATTTTATGTGATTTGGTGTACATACTGTATGTGAGCATGTGTATATGTGTTTGTCTGTGTGTGTACCTAATAAGAAATGTGGTTTTGGGTGGGTCTGTTGGGTAGTCGGGTGGAGGGGTCATGGAGATGTGGGATTGTTTTCAACCAAACTGTAAAGCACTTTGTGTTGCATTTCTTGTATGAAAAGCGCTTGGTAAATAATTGAAAAATGGTTGATTGAAAAATGGTGAATAGATTTGGTGAATATATTAGAAGATGTGAATCTTTTCACAAATACTATAGTATCAATAACCTCTAAGTGTGAGCTTCGGGTAGGATTTTGAATTGAATCTGAAAATGCATATCCACAGCATTGTAGTATATTGGCATGGTCTGCAGAGTTGCATTTTAACTGATGTAGTTACTTCACCAGTTTATCTTCAGCACTTCTCGGTTTGTACCAAGGGAACTGAAGGTGATGAGCTGCTGTCTGAACTATAGAGCGCTTTGGCATGCAGAGGCTGCCTATCGCTTTGGCCCCTAAACCACATGGGCTGTGCTTATATTGAGATAAGACTGGACCCAGGCATAAAACGAGCTTAGCCCCCAGGAAAAGCCTTTTAATCAACCTGATGTGCTTAGTGCGCAAAGACTGAGAGAAGTGAAGTGAGGAAAGCCAGGTCAGATAGTGTGACTCAAACATCTGTAACATGGAGAAGAATGTGATGTCTTTGACTTCCAAAAGCTCATTATCCTTATCACTCCACTGATATTGATATTAGCCTGTTCAGACTTTTTGATTTTCTTGCAGAAAATTAGATGAATCTACTATTCTCCTCTTTAAATATCTTTTAAATGCATCAATGCCAAAGGGAAAATAGCAAATGGATAGACAATGCTCTTATCGGTTCACAAATCTATACACTGGGATGCCCTAGACCTCGACATGTGTGTGTGTGTGCCTCGCCGATCGTTTTTCAGTTCTTTCTCAAACATGTATGCTAAATTACTAGCAATAGACAAGCCAGAAAACTCCCCAACTATCCCAATATATTTTTGTGTAACACTGTGTTTTCACCAGGATTGTTTTGCAGCACAGGGTGAGAACCAGACCACCATGGATGCATTATAATTATTTTTTTTTTATGATATTCTGAATCTCTGTGGGACTTTTTGGCTGGAAAAGTTACATGTAAACACAAAACATCTCTTGAGTTACATAAAAAGATTGTAATGCATACTTGCGGCACCCCTCTGCAGTTGTGTGATCTGTGTGATATTGGTCGGGTCGGTGTTCTGTCGAGATGATCTTCCCGTCAAACTGGTCTTCCGCATATGACATTATACTGACGTGTGCACTTCCTGTGGCTAACTCAACAGCTGCTTAGCCGTTGGTGAATGATAGACAAATATTTGTTTGTTTGGCGCATTGACCCCGACATTGACACTTGCAGAGGGGTGATAATTTGCTGCTGTAGATGATCTCAGATCCCCCGGGGTCAAACACTGGTGATGGCTAGAGGCATGGTACGGGGAGGGAGTAAGCGGAGCTGGAGCAGGGTCCAGGGCAGGAGCGAGAGCAGGAGCCAGGGCAGAAGCCCGAGCAGGAACCAGAGCAGGAACCAGGACTTTGAGGAGGCACTGGAGATTCAGGAAGCGCTGCTTGTCAGGAAGTGGCTGCTTTTAAACTGCCCGCTTTGTGGTCAGTGGGTTGGTAAGAGGCTGGTCGGGCTGTGTGATTGGCAAAGGCTCGAGGCTGGCAGAGCGGTGTGATTGGCTGGCCCTGGACGGGTGAGAGCTGTGGCCGGTCTTTCAGTCTGAATTTGCGCTTCAGCTTCATTATCGTGCTGTATCGAAGCTGATTAAAAATAGTGTTCAAACTAAATATTCAACAACCCCTAAATGTTCAAACAATAATGTCTCTTTAAATCCGCCATGCTCTGCAAAGATGTCAGGGTCTCACAACTCTGACCAAGTCAAAGACAAACAGGAGAGGATACAAGTGGAAAATTCTCAGCAAGAAACAAAAGCAAACGTAGGACACAGTTTGCAACTAGAAAATGAGGTCTCAAAACTAAAATTTCAGTTGACAGAGGAACTGAAACACAAACAGGCGCTGGCCACGCAGGTCGAAGAGCTGGTGAGTTCTCTTATATCTACTGAAGAAAAGTTGGTGTCAGAGCATGAGGCCACAAAAAAATGCCTGTCCGTGGCTCAAAGTGAATGTCAGTTATTGCAAGACCAGCTGCAGGCCACAAACAAATGTGTCTGTGAGAAGAGGGTCGAACAAGTGAAGGTGCGGAACAATAATCTGCTCAGAGAGGCCACAGAACTCAAAGACCAAATAATGAGGTTAAAGGAGGAGAAAAATGACAGAGAGGCCAGTCTACAGCAAGTGCAGCACGAACTGTCTGATACTCAAAATGATCTGACCAAGAGTCAAGCTTCTTTGAACGAGAAGAATGTTCATTGCAAAAGCCTGGAGCAGGAAAATGTCAGCCTTCTAAAGAAAATGGATCGACTTCAGAAAAAACTGGCAGAGGTGGAAAACCAGTCTGTCTTTCTGAGGAACTGTGTTGAGGAAAAAGAGAAGGCATGTGTAATTGCAACACAGAGACTCAAGGAGGAAGAGTCCACCTCAGCTGCTTCTTCTGCCACCATCAAAAATCTAGAGGAGGTGGTACAAAAGTTGAAGCTAGAAATTATTCAACAAGAAACAACTGTAAAACGCCAGTCCTACAAAATTGAGGTCCAAGAAAAACAGACACAGGAGTCTGTCGTGATCAAGCAAGATTTAGAAGAGATGGTTTCAAATCTCCAAAGTAAACAAAATCAGAGAAGATTGTCACCCAGGGGTCAGAGATATCAGGCTTTATGGGAACAGGAAGTGGAGAACACCTCATGGTTAAGACGGCAGGTGTTAGAGCTTGAAACGAAAAATGGTGAACAGTCCTCATTGCTAGAAAGAGTGAAGGCAAAGGCAAACAAAATTCTGGAGCAGAAAAAGGTTGGGGATGCTAGTTTGAAACAAGCGATCACCAAAAATACTGAACTTCAGGACGAAATATGCAGGCTGCGCACTCAGGTCAAAACGGCCAATACAAAAACACATGAAAAGAACATGAGAGTAGAGGGCATCGACATGCACACCAGTGCAGTGGACAGAAAGTGTCAACAACTGGAAGTAGACATTAGCGACCTGCGTAAAGAGCAGATGTCTCTGAATGTCTTACTTGAGCAGAGTGAAAGGAGTAGTAAGGAGCTGAGGACAATGATGGAGGTCACGCAGAGAGGGCGCAAATGTGATGAGGTGACAGATAGACAGAAATTGCAGACCAAACTGAACCAGGTCAACAGCATTCTAAGGACTGAACAGGCCTCTCGGGAGGAAAAGCCATTCTGGATGGAACAGAGGATCTCAGAGCTGGAGAAAGAAGTGGTCCGGAGACAATCCAGCGAACAGGAATGCCTCAGCCGCCTGAATTTCACTAATACAGAACTGGAAAAGTACAAGATCAAGTACTCTGAAGAGCGACACAAGCGCTTGTGGTTGTAAAACTACTAAAGGCTGAGATGTAAGACAATTTGATTAGCCTTCATTGTCTAACGCAGTGTTTTTCTTGAGAAAAAAGAAAAGACACCTGGGCTTCCATCTGGATTCAGATCTGAGTGGAGATTCCCATATCGACCAGATGGTGAAGAAGGCTTCAAAGCGCCTCCACTTCCACACGGCCCTTAAAAGACGTCTACCACAGCAGGACCTGTTGACCACACTCCACACTGGTGAGACCGTGTCTGGAGTTTGGGAGAGTCCTTCTGTAATAAAAAGGAAGCAGCAGAGCTGGAGAGAGTGCAGGAGAGGCCCCTGTGCTCTGGAGCTGCCATCACCGCAGAGCAGGAGAGAGGAGGCCGCAGTGAACTTGGTCCCAAACATGGGTCACAGTGAGCACCCAGTACATGAGCTCCTCCCCAAGACCAGAGGACAGAGCTCGCAGAGACATTTGAGGAACAACGACAACTTTTCAGAATTTCACTGTCGCACAAACAGCAGAATTTACACAAAGTGTCATTTCTGTTGTTTTTTAACTTTTAGCTGTAAGCATGAATTAAACCAACTTAAAATTAACTTAAAAATATTAAATATGGGTCCTGCGTTGAATGAACCAGGACACATATTTGATCAAATCAATAAATAAATAAAACAAAATTATTGCACCCCTTGTCCATTCTCATGATTTAAAACACACCTTGGTGAGATTGAAATGAACTGAAATGTCTCGGCCTGCTCAAATTTTATGACCTGAATGTAAAAAAGTCCCAAAGGGAAAGTTTCTGTTGGCGATGCCGTTGTACAAGTCACCAATGGAGTAATTTTGGGTTAGAACTGGCCCGAGCGCTCTGTATGAAGGTTATTCTGTGTTTTTATTATCAACACTTTTTTTTGCTTTTGAATTCTATAAACTGTAACAAAAAAGTATTCAGTGTAAATAAATTCAATGTTTTAAAATTCAGTGTCCAAAAATTCAATGTTTTAAAATTCAGTGTCAAAATATTCAATGTTTTAAAATTCAGTGTCCAAAAATTCAATGTTGAAAAAAATTCAGTGTCCAAAAAGTCGTTGCATTTTTTTTCGCTGCTTGAAATGTCATGCTTTATTTCCGGGTAAATCAAGACAGAAGCAATCGATCAGCCAATCCTCCATAGATGTAGCCGGGGCCAGAACACGACTTGTCTTGTTCATCTGAACATGGCGTCCACAGCAAACCAGTAAGTGTGTTTTCTCATGATTAGTTGGTATGTAACACGCAAACCACTACTGTATGTACTTTCTGAACATGTTTTTACCTTAGCTTATCATTAGCTAGCTCCGCGTAGGTGGCTTCTACGTTTTGGCGATTCCCCAAAGCTAATCTTCGCTAATGCTAAGCTCAAATGAAACGCAGGAAAGCCAAGTACACGGGGGTTTGCGGTTCTCGTGTGACATATGTACTATGTTCCCAATTTCAGTGTGTATATTATTCTAGCAGTGCAGCAAGGACGAAACCTGCTGACTGTTTAGAGACAGAGCATGCTAAGGGGTTGTTGTTAATCATGTTGTTCATTTTTATGTATCTACACCTCCGATAATTATTCTATCTTTACTCTTAAATGTTGACATCTTAGTGAAACCAAGATGGAATTAAAGCCGCAAGCGGCGTCAAACGACCCTCGCCGCACCGCGCGACTCCCCGCACCGCGCGCACCACCCCGTTCCACGCCGCCCCGCACCAAGCCACCCCGCACCACGCCGTCCCGCATCACGCCGCCCCGCACCAAGCCGCCCCGCACCAAGCCGCCCCGCACCAAGCCGCCCCGCACCAAGCCGCAACGCACCGCTCCACAACGCCCCGCACTACGCCGCACCACACCGTACCACGTAGCACCGCGCATAGGATGTGGCGCCGCCGTGTGATGATTGGTTCCCGAGCCATAGAAGAACTTAGTCAAATTGTAATGAATATGATTATTAGAGCTGGTTTGGCTCCCCATGTAAACTTTGAATCAGTCTGTAGGGGGCGCTAATGGGCTAATTTCAAATATTTCACTTTCACCTGACCTAAACCCTGGAGTTGAACAATGGATTCAAGTTTAATGCAAATCAGTCTTTGTTTGTGCAAACGGGGAAAAAATTTATGTTGTCAAAAACAGCCAAAAAACCCTCACATTTTGCCGTTCCGCTTCTCAAACAACGTTTGACTGATTAAAATTCCCTGAAGTAATTATGAAGGTAAATGTGTTGAGATGATTTGGAACAATTTTGAGGCCAATCGGTGAAACGGCCGAGGAGGAGTCGCTTTCCAACCAACGTTTATGAAAATGATTGGTTTTCATGTTTCCATTTTGCAATGAAATTTATGGGCTTCCTGTTTGTCAGGGGGCTTAGCCATAATAACATTTTTCCCATGTCTTGACTTAAGGAACATGTTCCAAATTACATGGTTCTACGACAATTTTGACCTCAAACCCCTCCCATAGGCATTTTTAATATGGCTGTTGTAGGTGGCGCTATAGAGCCAATTTCAGAATTTTAACTTTCAAATGACCTAGACCCAAGAGTTGAACCATGGATTCAAGTTTTGTGCAAATCAGACTTTGTTTGTGCAAACGGAAGCAATTTTTCTATGGTCAAAAACTGAAAAAAAATACGCCACTTTTTGGCGCTCCGCTGCTCAAACAACGTTTCACTGATCAAAATTCCCTGAAGTCATTTTGATGGTACATGTGTTGAGATGATGTGGAGCGATTTTGAGGCGAATCGGTGAAACGGCCGAGGCTGGTTTGATGTTTGTGTGAGGTGTATATTTGCAATGAATGGGGAGCGTTTGTCGTCGCCACGGCAACAGGGTAAAAAATAAGCCTTGGACCCAATTGACTTTTTGAATCAAGAGGGCAAAACAGATGTATGTGCAAAATTTCAAACATTTTGAAAAAACTAAATTTGAAAATGCCCATTTAAAACTTTGAAATAGTCTGTAGGGGGCGCTAATGTGTCAATTTGAATCATTTAACTTTCAAATGACCTAGACCCTAGAGTTGAACAATGTATTAAAGTTTTGTGAAAATCAGACTTTGTTTGTGCAAACGGGAGCAAATTTAATGTTGTCAAAAACGGCCAAAAAAAGGTCACATTTTGCCGCTCCGCTGCTCGAACAATGTTTCACTGATCAAAAATCCCCGAGGTCATTTTGAAGGTACATGTGTTGAGATGATGTGGAGCGATTTTGAGGCGAATCGGTGAAACGGCCGAGGAGGAGTCGCTTTCCAACCGACATGTATGAAAACTTTTGCTGTTCATTTTTCCATTTTGCAGTGACATTTATGGGCTTCCTGTTTGTCAGAGGGCGGAGCCATAATAATATTTTTTTCTTGTCTTGACTTGAGGAACATGTGTACCGAATTTCATGACTCTACAACAAACTTCATCTTCAGAACTCCCATAGGGGTATTATTTTGGCTGTTGTAGGTGGCGCTGTTCTGGCATTTTTTGAGTCCCATTAAAATAAACACCAAAATATCAAATTTTTCGCCAGGTCTGATTTTTGGGCAAAATTTAACAACTTTTCATGCATATTCAGGGGGTCAAATTAAGGCTCAAAGTGCAGAAGAAAAAAGAAAGAAAGAAAGAAAGAAAGAAAGAAATAAATTAAAGCCGCAAGCGGCGTCAAACGGCCCTCGCCGCACCGCGCGACTCCCCGCACCGCGCGCACCACCCCGTTCCACGCCGCCCCGCACCAAGCCACCCCGCACCACGCCGTCCCGCATCACGCCGCCCCGCACCAAGCCGCCCCGCACCAAGCCGCCCCGCACCAAGCCGCCCCGCACCAAGCCGCCCCGCACCAAGCCGCAACGCACCGCTCCACAACGCCCCGCACTACGCCGCACCACACCGTACCACGTAGCACCGCGCATAGGATGTGGCGCCGCCGTGTGATGATTGGTTCCCGTAGCCATAGAAGAACTTAGTCAAATTGTAATGAATATGATTATTAGAGCTGGTTTGGCTCCCCATGTAAACTTTGAATCAGTCTGTAGGGGGCGCTAATGGGCCAATTTCAAATATTTCACTTTCACCTGACCTAAACCCTGGAGTTGAACAATGGATTCAAGTTTAATGCAAATCAGTCTTTGTTTGTGCAAACGGGGAAAAAATTTATGTTGTCAAAAACAGCCAAAAAACCCTCACATTTTGCCGTTCCGCTTCTCAAACAACGTTTGACTGATTAAAATTCCCTGAAGTAATTATGAAGGTAAATGTGTTGAGATGATTTGGAACAATTTTGAGGCCAATCGGTGAAACGGCCGAGGAGGAGTCGCTTTCCAACCAACGTTTATGAAAATGATTGGTTTTCATGTTTCCATTTTGCAATGAAATTCATGGGCTTCCTGTTTGTCAGGGGGCTTAGCCATAATAACATTTTTCCCATGTCTTGACTTAAGGAACATGTGTTCCAAATTACATGGTTCTACGACAATTTTGACCTCAAACCCCTCCCATAGGCATTTTTAATATGGCTGTTGTAGGTGGCGCTATAGAGCCAATTTCAGAATTTTAACTTTCAAATGACCTAGACCCAAGAGTTGAACCATGGATTCAAGTTTTGTGCAAATCAGACTTTGTTTGTGCAAACGGAAGCAATTTTTCTATGGTCAAAAACTGAAAAAAAATACGCCACTTTTTGGCGCTCCGCTGCTCAAACAACGTTTCACTGATCAAAATTCCCTGAAGTCATTTTGATGGTACATGTGTTGAGATGATGTGGAGCGATTTTGAGGCGAATCGGTGAAACGGCCGAGGCTGGTTTGATGTTTGTGTGAGGTGTATATTTGCAATGAATGGGGAGCGTTTGTCGTCGCCACGGCAACAGGGTAAAAAATAAGCCTTGGACCCAATTGACTTTTTGAATCAAGAGGGCAAAACAGATGTATGTGCAAAATTTCAAACATTTTGAAAAAACTAAATTTGAAAATGCCCATTTAAAACTTTGAAATAGTCTGTAGGGGGCGCTAATGTGTCAA